GTCGTACATAGCAGGAAGTTTGAGATATACAATTTTTTTTTTAAAGGAAAAGGAATGAAAGTAGTATCTACAATACTGAATAACCCAAGTTCATTCTGAATAGTTTTCACTCAATAATTTTGTTTAAAGACATATATTGCCTTTTATGTAGATACTCTTTTACAGCTACAAGAGGTTATAAGAGAGAAACAAAATGATCAAACTTTTTTATAATTTTAATAACAGTCTATCATTTGTTGTAGTAAATGTGATTCAAAAACAACAAAACGTTGATGCGAAAGGAAAGTTGTTTTTTGTTGTTGGATGTAGTAAAACTCAAATTTGAGGTATAAATAGCCTTCAGTAAAGCCAGGGCTATGTTTTATCACTGTTCTTTGTTTTGAAGAGTATTTAATGGTTTAATGATTTCTCACTCCTTGTGAATTGAGAAAAGAAGGTAAAATGTTATTTGGTATAAACTCGTTCACCCAAACTTATTAATTGCTTTGTTTAATGGGGTTAAAAATATAACTCTAATGTATTTGTTGGCATTTGTTCAGTTGAAAAGTTGTGTTAGATTTCAAAGTTCAGTTTTTGTCTGAAAGAAGTAAAGAAAGTACTGGTTTCCAAAATATAAGACTAAAAAGTGGAAATATACAAGTTTTATGGATATATGTATGATATGAAAGGTTCATTCTATATCTTGGAAAGTATATTACTCGTGCTCATATTGCTTTTGATGCTTAACAAGATTTCTGTGGTAGATTCCATCCAAGGAAGGGAGGAATGTAGTATCGCCATTTGGCTTACCATAGTCACATACACATACACGCTGCAGTACAACAACATAGAGAGACAGTGACGTTGTAACTAGGACAGACACAAATAAAACGTGCCAGTGTAGCAGCTACTGAACTGATATCTGAAGTGTGACTGTGTCATTTATTAGGACCCAATCATTACAATATACACAACACTATCGCATTTGAATTAAAGAAATATCAATAAAAACAGGCAATACCTTTAAAAAAAAAGTGGAAAAAGTACATCTTAAGAACAAAGAGGAGATGGGGTGACAGACCATTCATTATATCATTCATAATATATAAGTCCTGGTAGGCCTATCAAATTGATGTCTTTTAAATTATGACACCTTCATATACTGTGGAGGTGTTTTGGTATAGTGGTTCATTCACTCGACTCTCAGTGACTTGTCGTAGGGTTCGAATCCCAGCACAGCACTAGTGTCTGTTGGCAATATATTAATCCACACATGCCACTCTCCACCTATATGGGCAAATGGGTACAATATTTTATAATTTATTTCTTCCTCTTCTTTTTCCTCTTCTTATTACTGTTGATATTATAATTGTAATAGTCATTAGTTAATTGCTATTTTTTGACATTATGATGACATGATATTATGTGAAATTACTAATTATGAACAGCCTTCATGCTTCAAACCTATTCCTTGACTATTGGCATGCATACAGTCACTGGGGATTTTCGAGACGTGGAATTCCCCACGTCTAATAATAAAGCGTGTCTTTGATACGCTAGATACCGCACAGATCAGACAAACGGTTACTCTCCCATTCTCTCATCACACCACTTCGTCGATTGACGTCTCTTTATATTATGTCCAACAGTCCGTTTTTAACTCACTGGCTCTGAATTGCAGACTCCGAATATCTTTAATTCAATGACTACAGAATATTCGTTTGACCGAAAAAGCTGTCATAAGGAGCGACTTACATCAGTTTTCAGAGGTATCGCCCTTACCATGAATCACGGGGCTACGGAAATTGCCGCTTGAACTATTGCTCGATATTTCCCCTGATGCCAGTGTGGAATCGGAAGGGAGGATACTCCTGATGTCATCAGAGTATTCGTGATCGGTGAATATGATAGTTGCTTTTAATCTTTTTCTCTAAGGATTAAGACCGATTTGGTAAGTGAACAGAGCAGATTTTAATTAGTAATCAACTGTATTCTCGAATATTATTGAGGAAAAGTGTGAAGGAATTAACGAAATAAAATACTAGCACAAAAATGTTTTGAACCAGCAACCTTGACAACTTGTCTAATAAGACGTCACACTTCAGTACTATAAGGAGAGAGGGAGGGAGATAGATAAAGAAAGATAGAAAGAGAGAGAGAGAAAGAAAGAGAGAGAGGGAGAGAGAGAGAAAGAGAGAGAGAGAGAGAGAGAGAGAGAAGGGAGGGGGGGGGGATGACCCCCACCCCACCAGCCAGATATCCTTTCTTATTAGTGCCCTAGCGCTTTATTTTATCTACGAGATGTAACAATTGAAGCTTATAACCACCGAATCGAATGGATACTGTATTGAACGTATGCTGTTGTTGGCAACGTGTGGGTTTTGTGTACAGGGAAATCCCACCTCTCCAGTAATGGCGGGTGGGCATAGCGCCGCTATTGTAGACAGGGGCGGCGATTTCTTTTCATGACCGGGGGGAACGAAATGCTAGGGACGGGGAGCAGTGTAGCAATGAGCAAAACATGTGTTTTCCGGGGGGGGGGGGAAGAAAAAAAAATCCGCATCACCCCTACTTTTACATGGACATGCAGGCCCCGCTGAAAGTTTTTAAAAGGGGGGGGGGGGGCTAAAATGTTTCGGTCAGGTAGAGCATAGCGAGCGAAGAAATGGAGCGTTAATTGGCTTGAGGTCAAGGGGCAAAGCCCCGGCGGGGTTTTTAGGCATTTAAGCATTTTAGGCATTTTAGGCGTTCAGGGGGGGACAATCCTCCCTAAAAAAATTGAGGGGGGGGGGGGACGTGTCCCCCCCGTCCCTGATCCTCGCCGCCCCTGATTGTAGAGTTGTAGTTTGTAGCATGATAACCCACTGCAGTGCTTGTTGCGGCAGTTTCTGGAAATTACGATCCTACTTCCTACTCTTACATGTTAAATGAGGGCTACAATTAGTAAGCATTTTTTTGCCCGACTATAAATTTGGGAATTTGTCATTTGGGGGGGGGGGGGGGAGGGTGGGGATAGTGACTACTAATTTTCTTTTTTTGGCCCTCGAAAATTTGAACAATCGCAATCCCCCCCCCCCTTGAGCGCCAAGGGGGGGGGGGGGGGGGGGTCATCTCCAAAAAAAGGTAAAATTAACGTGTTTTATACGTTTTTTTATCCCCGGGGGGGGGGGGGGGGCGGCCCCCCTGGATCCGCCCCTGGTTGGGGGTGGGGAATGGTTTAGTCAAGTTTGGGGTGTATTTTAGTGTGTTGACTGGGAAATCGCTGCGTCCACCCAGTAATGCAACACTTCCATCCCCATGCATGAATCTACCTTTATCGAAAAACAAAGAGCAAAAAAGAAGAAACAAAAAAGAAACGCAGGATGTAACAAAAATCTGTCCCTATAGATGATCTTAGTAAGCTGACAAGGGTATTATTAATTCGAGGTGAAGATCTAGGACATTTTAAAAAGTGTTTGTTTAGGGGGGGGGGGGGGGGGAGGGGGCTTGGGGTACTTGCATTCATTTTGTTAATTCGTCTTCCCATTATATATATAATTTCTTTATTAGGGGGTGGGGGGCTCAGAGCCGCTACTGATCAAAATGTTCTTCTGACTTTCTTGAATTCAATGACTGCGTCAAAATTTCATATATTACTTGATTGATTGAAAGGAATATGTATGGTCTTTTACCGTCTCCTTCTCATGTTTTTTTAACATCTCCAATTTACACCTCTTTCAACCATGTTTCCTTAACTGTCTCTCTTCCGATAAAGCCACTTGAAGGGCTGGGGTGGGGCACGGTGCTCCCTAGAGCAGTTTGTTTTGAACCGTTTGCTCTTCGTTTTGAATCATAAACTCAACTTTCAGTGTTTACAAAATATTAACAGTCATGCTTACTAACATGCAATTACAATTTTATACGGAGGAGTGTGGGAGTCGGTTATCCTAATTGCGCCCTCTAGAATCACTACACAAACATATTATGAAGGGATGTCATGGATGTGGGAATCCCCACCGGAAACATTATTGATGACCCATTCACAATCGATCCCAAATCAACCAACATGATCGGTTATCCACAAAAATTGCTAATTTGGATAATGCATTAAAACTTGTTGTCCTACTTTCTGATCTTCTATGTCGATGGTGTTACTGAAAATGTTGACTATTGATCATGTGTTAGCGTAAGAAAGTAACTGGAGATTTGTTGATTATGTATTTCAAAATCGATAACTAGTATTTACTTCACCATAAGCCTACTGTATAGTATTCACTTGTTTTTTTAAAAATGCATATTTAACGTCTTAAACTTGAACTAAAAAAAGACTCATTTACAATCAAAATCTATAATATTATCTTCTGACAATGAATTTTTTAATTATTAACTATCAACGTTGGGAACACTTTTTCTTTGATACACACTGGCTATTCATTATATACATGCATGTCCATTTATCTAGTAATTTCTAGGACTTGCCATCATAACTAATGAACATCTACCATGTCATATCGACAAGTATGGAGATTATAGTATTAAAATACCAGCGCTCTCCTCCTTTATCAATCTTACTTTGCCAGTCACTCGCTTCCTTTCTTATTTGTTTTCCAATTTAAACTTAGGGCCGGAATAACATTAAGCTTACGCTGCAGCCCCTTCTGTATCTAATGTATGTTGATCCTATATGAATTCAGCATGCAACCAATAAATGAAAAAAAATCCTACGTAGGCTTTAATATGTACTCTATTGTCTAAAACAAAGGGTAGTGTCAATGTCACATTAATGGGCAAGTATGCATGTTTGAATACATATACAGCTAAACCTGGCTTAGCGACCGCCTGCCTACTAAGACGTCATTTTTTGTTTCCCTTGAAAATGGTTTCTCATTGAAAACTGTACTAAAGGAACCTGTACATAAAGACTACCTGTCTGTAAACACCACTTTTCTTGCCTCCCTTTGGTGCTCTTTATAGACAAGTTTCATTGTATAAGCCAACAAATAAATTCAATTAAAAAAAAAAAATCAAATATGTTTATACCTAATTTATATTTTCTTATAGAACTTAATCATATAAGTTTCTCTGTATACTCTAGATATCTGGAAGTTGACAAGATGTGGGGTGCAGATGATGATGATGACAACGGAGGACGTTTTGCGTCTCGTCCTAACTCGAGAGATGACCACGGGAGGGGTAGACGAAGAGGATTTCGAAGGGGTGGGACCCGAGGACAAGGCAGAGGAGGTGCTACGGGTGGAGATAACGTCATGGGGAGAAGACAGAACAGGAGGGAAGGAAGTCGTGATAGAGGAGACGCCATGATGGCTGACAGATTCAGGGGAGATAACTTCCGAAGAGGAGGAAGGGACACAGAAGGAGCGAGAGGAAGGCGGCATGATGGAGAGAGAGGAGCTGGAAGGGAAGTTGGAGGCCAAAGAGGCGGTAACAGAGGAGGCCCATTCCGCCAGCGCTACAACGACAGGCAACAAGCCGGACAGCGAGGCGATCGGCCTAGAGGCCGTGGTCAAAGAGGGGGCCACATGGATCAAAACGTAGCTGGATCTAGAAGAGAGGGCTATCGGACACAGGAAAATACTAGGTATAGACCGCTTTGCATGTTTTTTTTTCCATAGGCCGATATGGACCAATATTCTCTTACACATGATAATGTGTTGCAATAAATATGCCTCTAACAGCTAAATAGGTCAATACATTTTGTTAATGACGACGCCTATTTGTATTGAAGTAAAGACTAGTCAGTTTGGTAGAAATTGTACACAATTAGCCCTGTAAATGTTTTATACACTACTTTTTTCAGCGTGTTGACACATTTTTATAACGGTGATTTAAAAGAAAAAATGTAAATTGCAGCTTGTATCAATCTTGAAATGTATGAAATGGATGAGGTAAAAGTGAATGAAAGCTTTTCATGACATGAATATATATCAATATATATAGCTTTACATCATTTAATTTCTACCATTTCAGATATGGACAGACCCAAGGAAGATACCCGAAGAACCAAGGTAACTTCAGACCGCTTAGTTCCAGACTTCTCAGGGAAATACTTGAAAAAGACCCTTCCGAGGCCGCTACAGAACTTGGGTCCCTGAAAGGAAACCTTCAAGTGGGTCTCAACGAAGATGTGATGAATGAGGTACAACAGCATCTCCTTTGGGAGGCTCTAGCATTTATTTGTGGAGCTCTAGGTGCAGAACAAACAGTGATCATGCTCCTGACAATGGCCCTCGACTCCAAACTCTGTCGTCAGCATTTACTCACGTTTTTGACCAATCTCAGGCGTCCAAGAGAGAACATCGGCGCAAGGCGGTTAAACCTTTTGAAGAATGTCATCACTGTCTTCCACTCAGCCATGCAAAGTTTGCCAAGCCGTGCTTCAGATCTCAAAGTTGCAGTCACTCTCATCTCCGATGCTGTAGCAGACATGGATGAAGACGACAAACGTGATGACATCATGGAGTCAATAAAGTCGTTGAGTAGTCACATTGAGGACATTGAAAAAGAGAGGGAAAAAGAACCCACCCCCTGACGACTTCCGCCAGCAAAACATTCTTCCCACTGTCAAGGAATTGCAACCCGGATATCAGCCGTTTCTCCGTCCTCATCTGACGAGAGGTGTATATGCCGATGCAGATCACTACCTGGATGTTCAGTTCAGACTTCTGAAAGAAGACTTCATCTACCCTCTTCGCAATGGGATATCAGAGTACCTAACTTTCAAGAAGGCGAACCCTGACAGACGGGCCAAACTTCAGGATGTGCGAATCTACGAGGAAGCTCACTACGAAAAATCTGTCCGTGATTTCTCCGGAATTTCACATTACATGGCTTTCAAGAAGTTACCTCGTGTCCGATGGCAATCGACAAAACGACTCATGTACGGATCATTGCTCATTCTATCAACGGATGATTTTAGGTCCTACATATTTGCTACAGTGGCCAAACGGGACGTAGCAGATCTAGAGAAGGGAATGGTAGCCATAGCATTGGTCGACCGAGAAGATGAAGATGCATCATGTCTACTGAATAAAAGTTTTGTGATTGCAGAGTCATCTGTCTTCTTTGAAGCTTATCGCCCAGTTCTCCTGGGTCTCCAGCGAATGTCTGGCCCATGCTTGCCGTTTTCCCAGTACACTTTGAGCATGATTCACGATGTAAAGCCACCAAGGTATCTCCAAGATCGGATGGTAACTGAAGACGATGAAATGTTCATCAATCCATGTAGCATCAATATCTCACCTCTGCTGAAAGGCAACCGACGATACTCTCCAAAAATCGACGTGCTTGACGATGGTGCTTGGCCTGATATTGAACATGTACAGCTCGACCAATCACAATATGAAGCTGCCAAGACTGCTCTCACCAAAGAAATTTCTGTCATACAGGGTCCACCAGGTACCGGCAAGACGTACATAGGTCTAAAGATCGTAGAGACTCTTCTCCTCAACAGAGAAGTCTGGTCAAGTGAAGAGAACCCTAGCCCCATCTTACTCGTGTGCTACACAAACCATGCACTGGATCAGTTTCTGGAGGGTATCTTAACATTCCATCGCACTGGCATCGTTCGAGTTGGAAGCCGTAGCAAGAGTGAGCAGTTGCAGGCCTTCAACCTTAATCGGATGGTCGGTCGGAGGGGAGTACACGATGAAGAGTACGTTCAGCGAAGGGTTCGTCATGTCAAGAAAGAAGTTGACGCTACAAGGAGACGTGTGGAGAGAACGCAAGCCAGGATAGAGGGTGCAAGAAATGGGATCATCAACGAGTATGAACTAGGCCCTTTTATGTCATGGCAGCATTACAACAGCCTCCTGCGTCTTTCTCATCTGAAACAGTCAAACTCCTGGCTTGTAGAGTGGCTTCTCTGTGAGAGTCATAATGACAGGGATTGGAACCAGCAAGAGAAACGGGAAACACTAGAACAGAGAGATAACATGCAAGAAGATGAGAGGGAAGAAAGCACCAAGCATGCTCCTGTGGCAAATGAAGCAACAGTCGAGGTAGAATATGAACGAAGTGCCATCGAGTCTGAAAGAATGATTGACGACGAATATGGTGAGGAAGATTCTGATGAAGAGGAAGACGAAGACTATCCTTTCCTAGGCCTTGACTTAAATGTTCTGAACAAACCAGAGCACAGTATCTTGCGGAGGTTCATCCATAGGAAGATGTCTGGAAAAGATGTCATCGATCCACGTGCTCTTCAAACGATTATGGATGTCTGGAGTATGCATCCAAATGATCGATGGGCACTCTACCATATTTGGTTGCAAAACTACCTGCATCAGTTGAAAGGGAAACTGCAAGCATATGACCTCAAATTCAAGCAACTTTGTGGTCAGCTAGATGAGGCAAAAGGCGTAGAGAAATACCACGTCCTCCGACAGGCAACTATAATCGGTATGACTACAACTGGAGCAGCTAATCACCAGCAGGTTTTGCAGAGAGTCCGACCAAAGATCGTTGTAGTAGAAGAAGCAGCTGAGGTACTGGAGGCACACATCATCACGGCATTAAATGCATCATGTCAACAGCTGATTCTCATTGGAGATCATCAACAACTTCGTCCGAAACCGAACGTGTTCCTCCTGGCCAAGAAGTATCATCTGGACGTTTCATTGTTTGAAAGACTTATCAACAATGACTTTCCTTACTCACAGCTTGAGTTGCAACATCGGATGCGTATCGAGCTTTCGGGTCTGATGAGAAGGCACTTCTACGACAACCTTCATGATCATGACACGGTGAAGCAATACGGAAGTGTGAAAGCAGTTCAAAAGGATATCTTCTTTCTAGATCACGCAGAACCAGAAGATGAAATGGAAGATACACAGAGTCACTACAATCTCCATGAGGCCGGACTCGTAGTAGCGTTGTGTTACTACTTCATGCAGCAGGGGTATGAACCTGATAAGATTACAATCCTCACAGCTTATACAGGTCAGCTACTGAAAATCAAGCGCATGATGGATCGTAGCAAGTTTGAGGGAGTCAAAGTTACCTCAATAGACAACTACCAGGGAGAAGAGAATGATATTATTCTCTTGTCCTTTGTGAGGAGCAACAATCATGGGCGCATTGGATTCTTGGGGATTTCGAACCGAGTTTGTGTCTCATTGTCAAGAGCAAAAAAAGGGCTCTACTGCGTTGGAAACTTCACCCTCTTTGCAGAAAAGAGTGAGCTATGGAAGGGAATAGTGAAAGATCTAGAAGCAATGGGATCTATCGGAGATTCCCTTACGCTGCAATGCACCAATCATCCAGAGGAGAGGACAGCGGTGAAAACTGCCGATGACTTCAAGAAGGTACCACTAGGAGGATGTAGTAGAGACTGTGATACCAGGCTTGACTGTGGACACGTTTGTCGATTAAAGTGTCACCCAACAGATCTAAAGCATCTCGTCTACAAGTGCAAGGCTCCGTGCTCCAAGGTTATTTGTGAGAGAAACCACAAATGCCCAAAGCTCTGCTCAGACCTTTGTTCGACCTCTTGTTCAGTCATTGTGGAGAAGATTCTGCCCTGCCGTCACGTCTGTAAAACGGAGTGTAAGACCGACATTTGGTCTATCACATGCGAGGAAAAGGTTGACACAAATTTAAGTTGCTCACACGTCCATCTTCTCCCATGCCACATGCCAACTGAGGGACTTGAAAAGAAGTGCAAAGTCCTTACCGAAAAGGAATTGCAGTGTGGCCACAGTAAGACAGAGAAGTGTAATGGAAGTGGTCGATGTGATGAGATAGTCTTGAAAGTTCTGGAATGTAACCATACCTGCCATGCAGCGTGCCATAAAGATCCAGAGGACATCAAATGCAAGGAAAATGTTGAGAAAACATTGCCATGTGGACACACGCATACTCTTCTCTGTTCCGCAAGTATTGACAATTTTCGGTGCAACACGATTACCCGAAAAATTCGCTCATGTGGACACGAAATCATAGAGAAGTGCTGTCATAACAGTAAATGTTCCGAAGTAGTAGAGAAAACCTTGCCTTGTGGTCACAACTTGAAGATGATTTGTTCGACCGAAGTAGAAACAGTAGTATGCAAAGCAAGGTGCAGTAAGGAGCTTCCATGTGGCCACATTTGCAAGGAAAGATGTGGGGTGGATTGCACAGAGAACTGCACTGAGATGATCACCAGAGATGACTGGCCATGCGGTCATGAGGTAACCGTTAAATGCTGCGACGAAAGCGACGCATGCTACATCGCCTGTGAGGAGATCTTGATATGTGGGCACAAGTGCAAAGGGACCTGTGGAAAATGCTCACAAGGTCGTTATCACCACCCCTGCATTGAGACATGTAAGAAAAAGCTGGTGTGCGGACACGAATGCGCCCTCAAGTGCGGTGCACCATGTCTTTCCTGTAAAATGAAATGTCTGCGGCGTTGTCGTCACTCGCAGTGCAAGCATCCGTGCAGTGAGCCATGTGATGTTTGTACGAAACGTTGTAACTGGAAATGTGAGCATCACGAGTGCAAGACGTTGTGCTGCGAACCTTGTGACAGACCTCCATGCAACAAGCCCTGTTCGAAGAAACGGAAATGCGGTCACCCTTGCATCGGTCTTTGTGGTGAGATCTGCCCCAATAAATGTCGCATCTGCGACAAAGAAGATTTGGAGCAACGTTTCTTTGGGACCGAAGATATCCAGACGGCAAGGTGAGTTGAATGTTATGGAACCATTCTTTAAGAAATAAATCAGGGAAGACGCCTACAAGACATATGAAAAGAGATGACTTTGAATAATCTCATTCTGCTTCATGTTAAAAAACTAAATTATACAATATAAAGGTTAACCTGTGGTATTCTCCTGCTTATATTTTGTCATTTTGTCATACATGTCTATGTAAAACAAAAAATAGATCTCATTGGAACAAAATACCCTTTTAGTACTTCGATAATACATCTAGATTTATATTGCTCGTCATGCTCCTTGAAAGATAAACTTGAATTATTAGAAAAGAAGTAGAACAATTTTGTAGAATGTAGAAAACATTTCCTTAAAATATTATGAGAATATGCCAAGAGCAGAGCTAGATGCATGATTTAACAAATTTCCAAATTTCTTTTGCTACGTCTATAGGTATATTCAACTAGAAGACTGTGGACATTACTTTGAGGTAGAAGGACTTGACAAGTTCCTGGGACTCGGCATAAAATCCAACGGTGCAGAAATATTTACCAAACTATCGGTAATACTACATTTGTTTTCATGAATTATCAATTAATTTGTCATTTCACTCTTATAATTCGTATCATATCACAATACTTCTAGTACGCTTTATCGTAGATAGATATTATATACTCATAAAAGACACACCTCTTAATCAAGAAGGACATGTACGTGTAAATGTGTTTAAAGTAGAAGAACAAGAATTTGGCATAATTTATAATAACTCTTCTAAAAATAATACATTCTTTTAACTCCTTACGTTTTTGATGTATCAGTTTGGTCTTAATTGATTACTGTGATACTGTAAAATTAATACAGGTTTTTATTTTGTTTCATTTTTAAGGTAAAAACCTGT